TCTTTCAAACTTCTAAAGTTCAAACTCTAAGTTCTTAGAGTTGACCTTCTTCTAGCCGAATCATTTGCTAATACTCGTGGTTGTACTTTCAAATATCCAAAGCTGTACCGATGCAAACTCTAAGGAAGTTCGATACATCAAATAAAAACATATATATATATATATATAATCATATCATTGCCATATAACATTTAATAAACCAAAATGGGTTAATTATACGACAAGAATTTCATCCAACTGGCCCATAGACATTTCAACAGTGAGTCCTCATGCTCAATTTAGTGCTCTTAAGCTTGTTTGGCTAAACATTCTTCGGTTTAGCTTCGTTTAATCCAACTTCACCTATGCTATTCATCCATTTGGGAAACTGAGCTTATAGCCTATCTATCGAGCCAACATCATTAACTATCCTAAAATTAATCCTAAAAAAGTGTTAATAATATTTAATTATCACAAAACAATGGCTACACTTACCTATTATGGCCTTTCTTATCTTAGGTAATTGGATTAAACTATTAACTACTGACCCATTGCATGTATTCGAACGACCAACCAACCACTGATCCATTGCATGTATTCGAATGACCAATTATAAGAAGCAATATAAAGAAAAATCAAGAGGTCTTTACGTTACCTCTTCAAATGCCCAAAAATATTTATAACATTAGTAAATCAAATCAAGAAAAGAAGAATGGAGTGGCAACAAAAACTACTTCCACATTGTTTAAGACTTTTTGTTTTTTGAACCACCATTTTGGACTATTCAAAGACATGTAATATTCAAGTTTGAAAACAATGGTGGAATACAAAAACTGTGTTTTCTTTAACCCTCTAGGTTTCGTCTTTTCTTTTTCCAGCCTTGCTTTACGCTTGAAGTAAAATTGATTAATTGGATTAATCTTAATCAAACTAATTCTCGGTGAGTCATCTTGGGATCTAAGAGTGGCCATTATAGATTCTAAGTTTGATCTAAAAGCTATTCATCCTTCTAACCCGCTCTTAGTTGGAATCATTCGTTAAGTTAGCTTTATTTATAAAATTTTGCAAGGATCTTAAACGAACCTCTAACTAATCCAAAGCCACTTATCAAGTATACAAGTGAAGCTAAAAGCCATAAAGAATAAAGAGAAAAATGGGTTCCAGGATAAACAACCCGTTGTGGCTACAGAAAAGGAGAAGAAACATGGAATAACAATCAGGACTTTGGATGATGTTGATAATTAATAAATTTGCATCTTCTTGTAAGCAAATCAGAACAAATCAGATGCTATATAAATGAAATTACGAGCAATAACTCACCTTGATAAACTTTCTGGGTTGAAATGAGTCGAGTTCATCAGCTAAGGCACCTACTTCCTTCTCTTGAAGTCGGAAATTCAAATGCTCGACTCCACATCTATAATCAACAAGAGCTACTTACTCGTGCATGCCATTGTCCCCACCCCCTTCACTTAAATCAAGATCAGCAAGCAACTCTTCGAGTGGTACCGAAGGTCCATCTTCCCCATCAGTCATTTCAGATGGTTGGTATTCTCGATCTCGGTACAACGATATGTTGAACCTCAAATCTGGATTCTCCTCCAAATCTCTCAAAAACTGTTCGTACTCCGAGTGCATCTTATCTTGCTCTGCTCTACCTTGATCTTTATCATCAACATCCATTGCAAGAGATTTTAGCTTCCACGATCGAGGCTTCCCACGCTTTCTCTGGCGTTTTTCCTCATAACTCTTCTTGATTAAAATAGCTTCTGGAAGTTGAAGGCCCTTATATTTTTCTAGCTCCATATCATTACTATTGGCTCTATAGAGATCATAACCAAGGGCATAATCCCCAGGGTTTAGAATATGACCCAGATGGGTTCTTATGTTGAATATCGTGTCATTCCTTCCAAAGTCTGATACACGAGCTATCTGAGCATCGGCCAAAATATACTTCGAACCACTGACATTGACTTCAGTAGAAACATTCTCAATATCTAAAACGATATATTCGACAAGTTGCCTGCTAGTGAGTAGAGGCTTAAAGGATGTCCTCCAATACTGCTCCGCATCCAAGAAGCAGTGCCTTAAGGTTAATGGATCAAGCAAAGACACGGAGTTTGTAACTTTAGTGCAAATTACAAGAGGGCCAATATTGCCCAAACTAACAGCAACTTTTGGAGGCAAGCATATCAAATCCTCGCGACATATTGGAGATAATTCAACGGAGAACGTGTGCTTATAGTTGTGAACGTTACTCTTAGAATCATGAGATACAAGTTGTTTATCTTGGCGGCTCCTAATTGGAGCAACCTTTCCAATAAATTCCACAAACTTGACACCATGACTCCTATTAGAAAAGAAAAAGTCAATACCTTGATCCATCTGTTTTATCCTTATGGCATTGGCAGCAGCACTGTGCTTTAATATCAGTTGCTCCAAGAAGAAAAAGGTACGCCGGTGAGGAACGTGCTGCCGGAGTTGAACAGAAGCCACCCACTGGTCAGGATTGGCCTGGACCCTTGAGCAAGACTCGCACAAGTGATCCTGTACAACATACTCAACAACATAGGACTGTTCTAAAATTGCTCCATGAAGGACTTCTTTCTGCACTTTCAACTTCACCTTGATCCTCTTGGAATGGGGTTCTGTCCAAACAAATTCAGCATGTAGCAGTTTAACCTTGTTCAGATTTTTCAACCTTTTGATACAGAATGTCAATAGTTCCTTTGATTCTATTTGTGCCTTGATCCAAGTTCGCGGTGGCTGCAAGTAACTTTCGCAATCCGGACAATGCATAATAGTCAATTGCTTCTGTAAACCTTCTGTGATGTCAACTTCGGAACACAAACACTTGACGCACATATTGGCAGCATTTGGTGCCATGGGAATTCCACATTTGCAACATAAAACACTGCCAATAGTCTGTTGAACTGTAAACAATCCTGTTTCTCCAGCCATAGTTTATACTCCTACCAAAGATAAAAAGACGAACACTAGGGTTGAATTCTAAAGCCCTTTGTTAAGCAAATAAGTTCGGAGAATGGATGAAAACAAAAACAAAAACGATTCAATCAAGGCCAAAATCTAAATCTCTAATGCAAGGCCACCATGAGAAGGGCGTCAGATAAACCTATTCTCAATAACCGAACAACAATTTAGGTCCAGAAAATGATAAGGGCAATCATATTAAAAAAATTGATACAAACAACTGAGAGAATCCAATAACAAATCCTCTGATTAACCAAATCAACATCATATTATTCAATTGTGTCGTGATCATGTTCGTATCTTAAAAAAAAAAAAAAAATCGTGTTGTGATCACAAAAACCTAAGGATTTTCCTTTGCTGAGATAAGTAACGCGGAAGAACAGAAATCTTAGCAAATTAATCACAGAATTACCTCGGAAGAGATCAGAAACAGCCACTAAGACGAAACACTGTTCGTCGAAGAAAAAGATCGCGCAAGGGTCTCGCTGAAGTTGCAAAGCGCCGTCAGAGGATCTGCGTTGATCCGTTGCCGGAGTTACGAGCTGCTATCACCTAAAAACTCGCCGGAATTGGGCTGATAAGGTTCACGAAAGGGCCAGAAAGAGAGTTTAGGGCTTTCAGACTTTTTTAGTCTTTTTTTTGTTTTTTTTTTCTTTTTCTAATTTTATTATTTTACAATTTATCTAATAATATGAATAAAATAGCTTAAAAAAAATACAAATATATAGTTTAGTTCTTGAAATATATACTATTTTTCAATTTTTCCTCTAATATTCTAATCATTTTAATTCTATCATTTTAGTGCATTTGGTTGGATTTTGGAAAATGAATCCAATATTTAAAATTCAAAAGTTTTATGTGGAAAAAGAATAATTTTACTGAACTTTTCTAAATCTAGCCGTTTATAGATTGCAAATAGACCTATTACACGATCCAAGGCAAGGTTTTAACCTACAACCAATTTGCCATTTTTAAGTTTTAAGTCATTCTTGGGGTAAAATTGCATCTGAGTATTCAATCAAGCTTTCATCAAGTTCGATGGTAAAGAATTTGCACACAAGAATTGCATTTGAGTCATTCAATCGAGATGAACATCAAGTTTGACTTCTAAGTTTTAAGTCAAATTGCATCTGAGTATTCAATTAAGCTTTCATCAAGTTCGATGGTAAAGAATTTGCACACAAGAATTGCATCTGAGTCATTCAATCGAGATGAACATCAAGTTTGACTTCTAAGTTTTAAGTCATTCTTGTGGTAGAATTATATCTGATCAATCATGATGAACATCAAGTTCTCAATCATGATGAACATCAAGTTCGATCGTAAATTGACTCAATTTAGAACAAGATTTCCAAATCTTGCTTCTAGATTTTTGTTTCAAAGTGATTCAATTTAGAACAAGATTTCCAAATCATGCTTCTAGATTTTCGATCAGGTAATCTAATTCTAATTAGTTTTATCTCTTGATTGATCCTAATTGCTTCTAAGTCTAATTCTAGTCTTTATCTTTTGATTGAATTGCTAGTCTTTATCTCTCGATTGAATTGCTAGTCTTCATCTCTTCTAGTCTTTGTCTTGATTGATCCAAATTGAGGTACTATATGTAAGAAATAATCTAATTCTAGCCTTATCTATTGGTTATTTCGAATTTTATATAAGAAGTTAATTACTTGAGATTCAAGGGTTCTTGCTTCAACAAAAACTTGGATTGTAGGCGGAAGATTAAAGTTGCCTTATCAAAATTGAAAGTTAATCATTTTTAGTTAGATTAGAGATTCAAATCTCTCATCTTTGGTTAAGCCGAGCAAAGCATTCATAAAGTGGAGTCCAAACATATATAAATATCATAAGAAATAATCATAAATACAAGTTACAGCACTCGATCAACACTACAGCATCACAGATAAACGCAGATATGAGTAAAATCATGATGAAATATACTCGCCATAAAAAAAAACTCTCATCCCAGAGCTTCTCAAAAGGCAAGGGAACCCGGAGTCGAGAACAAGAATGCAATTTTAGGAGTTTTGATGAAATAAATGGTGTGTTCTAAATTTCTCGATCACGCCTCGACATCACTATATTACCGCAGTTGTCGGTCGGAGCGAGTCGGTTCGGTTATAACCTTGCAGCCCTTCGAAGAAGATAGGTAACAGGCACCATAAGGGCCTCTTGGTCGTACGAGGTCGAGGACGCGCAGAATGTTCATGTCGCCCATCTAGATCAAATGCATCAGTACTTCACAAGGACACAAGGCAATGTCCAATACTATCTATTGCTGATTTGGGCTCAGGAAACCTTCAATCAAATTTTCAAATTCAGTGATGATAGGGAATCTGCAAATAGCATACACACATTTGAGTATAAGGGTACGTTCATATAATTACCTTTTCCTGCTTCATTCTAAACTCGAATAGAACACGTTCTGAGCGCACTGGACGATGGAGCCTCATGAGACGAAACCGATGTGTTCCTTCGAATAACATCGGTTGCTTGAGAACATAAACCAGATAATGTTTCGATTAGAAGAAGATTGTCCGATAATATGTCCTTTTACAACAAATTTTCTCTTACCATGCAAGTTCGTTTTTATTCTCTGAACCAAAATTTTGTTTCTCATAAGCATTATAAATCAGACAACATTCGAAACAACATTATCATCATTTCATCATCTTTCGAATATTCGGGATGATTGAGCAAGAATTTCATTATCATATGCAACGATGAGTTTGTTACTTTATCATTTATGATATAAATGATCAAAAGCAATAAGTGCAGTAAGTTTTTAGCAGAAACTAAGAAACCTATCAATCCTCGTGTTTCAACTAATAGGCTGTAAAAGTCCAACTCAAACTCACCGCTAGCAAATATTGTTCTCTTAGGGTTTTATTTTTGGGCTTCCTTTCAAGGTTTTTAAAACGTGTCTGCTAAAGAGAAGTTTCAGCACCCTTATAAAGGATGTTCAGTTCTCCTCCCTAACTGATGTGGGATCTCACAATCCACCCCCCTTCAAGGCCCAGCGTTCTCCTTAGTACTCGTTTCTCACTCCAATCGATGTAGGATCTCACAATCCCCCCCCCCCTTTTCGGTGCCCAGCGTCCTCGCTGGCACACCGATTGGTATCCACCCCCCATTGAGGCTCACCGTCCTCACTGGCATTGCCCAGTGTCTAGCTATGATACCACTTGCAATAGCTCAATCCCACTGCTGGTAGATATTGTCCTCCTTGGGCTTTCCCCTCGAGGTTTTTAAAATGTGTATGCTAGGGAGAAGTTTCCACACCCTTATAAATGGTATTTTATTCTCCTCCCCAATCGATGTGGGATCTCACAATCCACCCCCTTTAGGGCCCAACTTCCTCACTGGCACTCGTTCCTCACTCCAATCGATGTGGGAACTCACGATCCACCCCCCTACAAGGCCTAGCGTCCTCACTGGCACACCGCTCGGTGTTCACCCCTCTTCGAGCCTCACCATCCTCGTTGGTCATTGCCCGATGTCTGACTCTAATACCATCTATAACAGCCTAAGCTCACCGCTAGCAAATATTGTCCTCTTTGGCTTTTCCCTTTCAAGCTTCTCCTCAAGAGTTTTAAAACGCGTCTGTTAGAGAGAGCTTTTCACACCCTTATAAAGGGTGTTTCGTTCTCCTCCCCAACCAATGTGGGATCACATAGACGATACGTTATTCTATAATTCTAAAAAAGATTAACCACTTATAGCAAAATTAACACAATCATATAGAAAAGCTTCAAAGTATATTTTGCACGGTTAAAAAATATATATTGATTTGCATTTACGTGTATAATATATATACCTCTAACAGTTCATATTTCAATAAGACAGTAAGAGAGAATGACACATAAACGCAGCCAATGCATCTTGCATATATAACACAATAAAAAATCATGTGTACCTGTGCGAAAACGCTACTCGTTTCACGATAACGGAGGGGAAACTCCTTGAAGTGAAACAATTGAGACTGCTTCTATGATGCAATCAGCCTCCGACCAGGTCCGAGAGATCCTCTTTTGCCCAAGGGAAACAGAAATCCTTTTTCTTTCCCCAACGGAAACGAAACTCCACCGAATAAGCCGAGTTCTTTCTTTTTTCGTCTTTACAATTAGCCTCTATCCAAATTGCAAATTACCTCTTTCGCTAATTGAGTAGCCTCTCGTATATTTCCTTCCGAACAAAGAGAAGAAAGTAGAGGATAGTAAAAGTTGAAGTCCTCAAAATGAGGCCGCTTTTCCCGATCCTCGTACTTCATGTTTTCAATCGTGTTAACATCGAAGGTTCCCGAACGAACAACATCGACAAATTTCTTGTCATTTATATGCAGTTTATGAGGTTGGCTGTAATCAATAGAACGCCTCTGAGAAGAGAAAAATATGGAGCCGACTTCGTTAAGAACAGCATAAGCTTCTAAGATACGTCCTTCCTCACATAAAAGGGTGAGGGTGCTTTCTATAGACTCGGTTTCAATCTCGGTATCAACCTTGTTAATCAACTCCATCGCCGTTCGCGACTGTACCATCTCGAGGAGTATATCTCTTGCTTCTTCCATCCTTCCCTTGGCACAAAGACCTCTTATCAAATACAAGAAGCCCAAAAAATCAGGTGAAATGTTTTTATTCTTGAACTCGAAAAAGGATGAAAGAGCACCCTCCATGTCACCGTTTCGACAATAAGCCTTAATAGCCGAGCTCACCGAGAATTCATCAGGACTAAACACTTCGGTCTCCGTGTCACGTAAAAGCTTATTGGCTTCTTCAATTTGACCAATCCTAATGTAACCATCAATCATTGAATTGCAAATATGGGTGTTTGGTTTTAGACCTTTCGAGATCATCCGATCAAACAACTGCCTTGCATCTTCCAGATATCCTTCTCGACATAAAGAATCGATTAGCGTCCCATATGTGATTACCGTAGGTATCAAGCCTATTCTTTCGAGCGAATCGAAGAGCCGAAATGCTTCAATAAGACAACTTTGAAGGCACAGTCCCTTTATCACAATATTGTAAGAGACGATATTCAACTTTATTCCATTTGTTTGGGCGTAAACGCAGATATCCAGTGCCTCGATCATTCGTCCACCTTTACAAAGACCGCAAATTAGAATCGAATAATCAAATACGTCACCGGGCAAGAGATTACTTCCACTCTTCATCACAAGATTATAAGCATCGAAAAATCTCCCTTCTCGTACTAGCACTTTAAACATGGTATCAGGAACCACGCACGTTAAAAATTTATCTTCCATTTTCTCCGAAGTCGAAAGATTGAACTTCATACCTCGAAAATCTGCAATTGTTTGCTTAACAATGGGCTCAGCTAGGCCATATTCTTTCAAAAAGTTACTTAAAATGGGCAGACTAATCCATGTCTTTCCTTCACTGTTCAATGCTTTTATGAGTAAATAATATGTTTTCGTTTTGAGAAACGACCTGGTTTTTCTCATTCTTGAACACAATTCAATCGCCGTCTCCGAGAAACCTCTCTTGCATAGAAACCGAATAGCATCGTTGCATATAACATCGTAAACATCTCGCTCCAAATTTTCCATCCCGTGCAGTGCCTCACAAAGCCCTGCTGCACCTTTTTGTTCAAAAATGGTTCGGATCAGCATCTTATACACACCTACATCCAAACTCAAAACTTTCGGGCTCAGTTCAATAAAGACCTCACACGCCTTTTCAACTAGACCTTCTCTGCATAACGTTTTCATAATACCATTGTAAACAGCCATCGAATCACATGATGCCGACTTGAACTCATCGAATATCTCGAGCGCTTCATCAATCCTACTAATATTACAATATCCATTAATCATCGTATGGTAAGTAACTGAATCTGCAACAAGACCAATTTCTGGCATTCTCTTGTAAAGTATATAAGCATCTTCGAATGCGCCAACCATAAACAGCGCTTTGATCATAACATTACACATGACAACGTCCAGAGAAATCCCAGCATCTTCAAGTCTCGTCTTTGTTTCGAAAATTCCATCGATGTTCCGTTCTTGGACGTATCCATGTAAAAGTGTACTATATGTAATAACATCTCCATGTAAATCCTTCGAAAGTCTATCTGCCTCCGACGTTCTCCCCAGTTTACAGAGTCCATTAATCACAGTGTTATACGTAACAATACTCGGTTTTATCCCTCTCGTTTCCATTTCATCAAGAAGACCGAAAACACGACTAAAATCTCCTTTTCTGCAACATCCATCAATCAAAGTTGCATACATAAACTCATCCACCTCTATCTCCAAACCTTTAATCATTTCGAAAAGAGAAAACGCTTCCTCGAGTTTCCCTTTCTTGCAAAACCCGAGCATAATCACCGTATATGTAACCAAACTTGGTTCTAATCCTGATTTCTTCATCCTCTCTAAAACCCCAAATGCCTTCTCGACATTTCCCGACTTCGAAAGACCGTGTATCAGAACCGTAAAACTCACTATATCAGGTTTTATTCCCTTCTGAATTATTTCCCTATTCCTCTTGAACACATCTAATAACAATCCCTCAGCAACATACCCACAAATCCAACAACTATAGAAAACAACATCAAATGCCAAATTTTCGTTCTCCATTTTGCAAACCAAATCCTTAACTTCATTAACTCTATGCAACTTAGAGAGTGCGCTAGTGAGTGCAGTATAAGTCACCAAATTAGGTTTCAAGTTCCCCAATTCCTTAGCATTTTCATAAAACTTCAAAGCTAATTCAGGTTTCCCAATGTTACAAAACCCAGAAATTACAGAACTACAGACAAAATTATCAAATGGGTAATTCACATTTTGATCAGACATTATCTCTAGAATCTGAACCGTCTCATTCATCAATCCAAGAGAGCTAAATTTATGAATCAACACACAAAAAGTGAAAGAAGAAGGCAAAATACCATGATTCCTCAAGCAATCCCGCAATACCCACAATGCCTTTTCCGGGTCTTGTTTATCGAGACAAAGCCCTCGAATCAGCAAGTTCCATAAGCGATTTCGTTGAAAATTTGAAGCCGCCGCCATCTGGGTCTTCAAGATTTGCTCTAATTCTTCATATTTGTGGGATTTGAGGAGTGCCCATGTGAGAATCGAGTGAGTTTTGGAGTTTCCTTTGATTTGATTCGCGTTCATTTGAGAGATGAAATGGATGACATAGTTAAATCTGTGGCTCTGATATAGAACACGAAGGTAGTGATTGATGGATTTCAGAGTAGGAGCGAAGCCGGATTTGAACAATGTTTGAAGACATGGGGTTTTCGAGGGAGCGTTTGTATAGAAAGTTGAATGACGAACTCGTTTGGGATTGAAAATGGTGGAAAGAAGAAGCATGGTTCCAAGGGATTAGAGTTTGGAAACGCCCTCCATGAATGCTCTCTTGCAGGCGGCGATCGTCTACTCCACGGAGAACAGCAAATGCCTTGTGGATTACAGTATTTACTCTTTTCTTGATGAGTTCTGTTGGATTTTCAATTATGTCATGCAAACGACGTCGTTTTGATGTGCTCCCTCAAGTTTCATCTCTTCTTCTTCTTGAAGCCCCAAGCGATGACAACGCACATTCAGCCATTTCAGGAATCAACCTGTTCTGCCCTCTCCGACTGCCGTCTCGCCGCCGCCGCCTCTTCTTTCCATTCGACGTCGCCGCCTCTGTCCTCCTCCCCCTCTCCATCTGACGCCACCGCCGCTGCCTTGCCAATTCTGTTTCTTCACTAGTATGTTTCGTTTCATATGTAAGTTCTTCGATTCAGTATTAAATATCAATTTCACTTCACATTATCGGGAAGCCATCAACGCTTCAAATCCCTTAAAAAACCACTGGATTCAGAATCGCGTCAATGTTTCTTCATTCAATACTAGTTATCATCACAAATCAAAATCGCCATTGATTGCATTCAACGATCCATTTTCACATCCCTAATGCCAACGAACCCGACAGAGAAAGTGGAAACTGGAATCTGTATTACAAAACAAATTAGTAATCAAAACTTAAGTGGAAGAAACCAGGAAGCCTCCCCACTTGTTCTGAGTTCATCTTTTTTACAGTCTCATACATATTTCAGACAAATTACATCTGATATCCTATTTAGCTTATTCCAACAGATACAAAGAATATTACAACCACATAAAATCTCTTTCTGAATTAACTCATCGTTGGTATCCCATGGCTACTACAGGTATTCTAACCTTGTGGCCCCTACTGCCCTTCAATACAACCTCGCCAAAACTATATGTTCCAGTCTGTGAACGAGCTGTGAGAGTTACTGAAAATTTTCTCGACGACCCAGATCGTAGAGTCATTGCTGGAGGATTTGTTTCTATGGCAATAGCAGGGTCCATTCTTGCAGTAACTGTATAGGTTTCTTCCTCAGCAACATTTGTTACTGTGCGAGTAACAGTCTTAGTTCCCACAAGATGGGCGATGGTAATTGATGGGCTGTTTAGATTCCAGGGATGTCCCATGGTGAAGTTGCAGGGTGAGTTAGTATAGTTGTGTATCTCGTGCACGTTGATGCCTGCTGTCGTGCACAAAAATCCCAAGTAATCTTCATAACCTGAGATTTAGCAAGTTTCGGCATGAGCTGAGATAAGTTTAGCAGCAAATGTATGGGATAGGGGAAGTAAAATGAACCTGCATCAAAGATGAGTCCAGGATCCAGTGCTGCTCTTGGGTTTACATGACCACTCCCGTAATCGAAAGGCGTTGCAGATACTAGTTTCATGACTTCTGTTTCGGAAAATTGTTGTGCTTTAAGAGGTCTTCCTGCTCTGTCCATTGTCGTTGATGTCGTCATCAAGGCCGATTTGATGGCTGCAGGACTCCAGTTAGGATGCTTCTGTTTTACAAGAGCTGCTATACCGGCTATATGCGGTGCTGCCATGCTCGTTCCAGAAATCATAGCAAATGCCTCTCCTGGAAGATGTAAACAGTTAGTATGGAGTATTTCATTAGAGTTTGATGTAAGCATGGTGGTTTGCTAGAAAAAGGAACATTGATACTGAGATAAATGGATATGATTGTGCTCACCAACATAGTTAGGTTCGTCTGTACCATTTGGAGACCAAGCAGCCCATATCAGAGAACCAGGAGCTAGAATATCTGGTTTGAGAAGGTCAGCATCCTGAAAGCTGAAGTCTCTAATATTTGGCCCACGAGCAGAAAACAATGCAACCTCAGGAGCTGATTTGTACAATAAAGGCATCAAACCATCACCAATGCTACCCACAGCGTCAAAGCTCTTGACCCGACCTGTCCAGTCTCTGGGTGTAGAGGTGTTGTAGTAGTCTATAAGATCCTAAAAGTAAATTCCAGAGTACAAAATCACCAAATAGCCAAGGAGGAACAAACAAGCATAATGAATATATGAGGAGAGAAAAGAAAGGCAAAAGCTGGCGAAGACTAGCTCGAGTGTTCTATACTATGGATATTACAATATGCAGGACGAAATCTAAGTATTTTCGAAGAGCGGGATGCACTAAAATGACACGAAATGTGTAATATGTGACAGTATTGGTCGAGATAAGATTAGAAAACTACCATCGACTTGGTGACATCAGTTAAAAGAATCCCAGGAATGCCAACAGGAACAGGGTCAAATTTTGCTCCAGGAGAGACGTTTTCAACAGCAAGAACAAAGCCAGCAGCACCAAGGGCTTTTGCAGTTTGAGCGACCTTCTTGACTGAAGCGGTACCAACAACAAAACTGAATGAATAGCCACAAAGAAGAACCTTCCCTTCAACCAGTCGTTTGTTTAGAACTTCTGGCCTTTGGCAGTCAGAGGGGCTGGACTTCCTTACTGAAGAATCTAACAGAACGTCGTTAGCTGCGACCAATGTGTACGTTCGATTTAAATGTGTAGCAGCTGCACAAAACAACCAATTTAAACTCACTGATCTTAGTTTCAATAAAGCTACAAATTAATCTCAGCTCTCATTGAATCTTAACAAATTAGAGTTTCTTTTTGGGTGCAGATGATGAAACTTACGTGATAGCCCAAGTCCAGCCAGGATTTTTCCATTACCAAGTGTCAGATGGTTTTTGTATCTTCTGTCATCAATGGCAGCAGCCACAGTGGCTATCCATGGACTATAGGACACCAATGTTTTAGGAAATGGGCCTCCATTCCCAGCAGCTTGCGCAACAAAGACGCCAGCCTTCACAGCTGAAAGAAGGGTAGCATCAAAAGGGTTTAAATATGTGATCTTTGTAGTTGCAGGAGGACTATTTGGCCCCACCGAAAGACTCAGAATATCGACCCCATCATGTACAGCCTGTTCACATCAGTTCATTGCTTTCCATTAGAGAAAATGATCTCAAATCACAAGAAAGCTGGAATTAAAGGTGTAGTATCTTAATTTGGATGTACACACCTGATCGATAGCTGCCACTACATCAGCAACAAATCCTCCAAAAATCCTGTAGAGAGCTTTATATACAGCAATTCTGAAACATTTAGGAAGAGAATGACATTAGGATAGCGCACACACTCGATTTATGTGAACACAAAGAACACTTGATTTATGTGAACACAAAGAACATGAAAGAGAAAATACAAGAAAAAATATTGGTTAAAGGCTTAGATTGATGATTTCGGGAGAGAAAATGCAAAAAAAAATACTGACTAAAGGTTTATATTGATGACTTCATTATGTACCATAAGAATATAAGAAATAACGAAGAATACAGAAAGAACATTTTTCTGTCTAACAGGTATATACATGGTTCAGTTTACTGTATATAGTTTTACCGGACCACCAGATCATCTACCGTATGACCATTTACCATATAGTTTTAATATAGCTTTAATATGCATAACAATTGAAAGCTACTTTAAATTGAGCCATTTCTATCTCCCTCACCTAGCACGAGGAGCCATCCCACTTGCTTTACCAAATTCATAGCCATGCAGTCTCACAGGGATTCCATTGTTTCCAGCTGCAATTGCTGCAGTATGGCTGCAACAGTAAAACATAAAGAAAAATGAACAAAGACTGCAATATATTTCTTGTGTAAAAACAAGGTCCATGTTCACTTCAATGTATTCTAGATAATCAAGTAATTCAATGTATTCTAGATAATCAAGTAAAAAAAAATGTCGGTCTTGTCAGGAATCACGACTCTTCACAATGGTATGATATCGTCAATTTTGAGCATAAGCTCTCATGGGTTTGCTTTTCGTTTCTCCGAAAAGCCTCATGCCAATAGAGATAGCGTTCCTTATTGATAAACCAACATGGGACTCCCCTACCAACAATCCTCAACCGGACGAAGAATGAAACACACTTTAATATATAATCATGATAGAGCGAAAAAGACAAAAAGGGCAAACCTTCCATGTCCGTCACCATCCAAAGGAGATGCAAAATGAATAGAAGGATTAAATGCCCCAGCTGCTTTAGCAGCTTCTGCAAAATGTTGAGCTCCAACGATCTTTCCATTACAAAAATTCTTCTTGGTGTTGGGGTCAACTTCACATTTCCCTTTATACTTCGAACATGGCCCGAAAGGTTCGGTATTATAGGTAGCAAAACTTGGATGGTGTGGATATATCCCTGAGTCCACAAATCCAATCACAATGTCTTCTCCAGCCCTGTCAAAGCCACCGCCGGTTGGCCATACGCCTGTTGGAAGACCCAAAAACTCCGGTGTATGTGTTGTTAGTTTCCTAACCTTCCAGTCCCTCTCCACAGATTTTACAATTGGCGTGTGTCTTAGAGTCTCTGCCTACAAAAGTAAGGCGTAATTAAATGCAAGACATACACTAATATTGTAACCGCTCAAGTCCACTATAATAAGATATTATCCGCTTTGGTCGGTTACGTATTACTGTCAGTCTCACGGTTTTAAAACGCATCTACTAGGGAGAGGTTTCCACACTCTTATAAGTAATGTTTAGTTCCCCTCTCCAATTGATGTGGGATCTCACAATCCACCCCCTTGGGGGCCAGCATCCTCGCTGGTACGCCGTTTGGTGTCTGGCTCTGATACCATTTGTAACAGCTCAAGCCCACCGCTTGCATGGGCTTTCTCTTTCTAGCTCCCCTCAAAGTTTTAAAACGCATCCACGTAGGGAGAGGTTTTCACACTTCTTACAAAGAATGTTTCGTTTCCCTCTCTGACTGATGTGTGATCTCACAAATATTGTATGAGAACACAAGGGGATTTCCTAAGTCTAACCTGCTCGTGCGAGATGTCAACAGCAAATCCATTGATGAGATGTTTATAACTATAGAGCTTCTTGAAGGATCCTCTCTCAAACAACATCCCAAGAAGCATATCATGTTTATTTTCAAGGTGACGAGAATAGGATGTCACAATTTCACTGAAAAAAAAAAAAAAAAAACTTACATGTCTGAGATGCATAATATTCAGTAACATAAAGCTGGTAAATTCTAGCTAAACCAAATATCCTAATTTTATAAACAGTTACG